ATCCTTGGCTTACAGGACACTATTGTGCCAGAGTACAGTTTAAAGTTGCTTGCGTTTAAAAACTCCATCAAGATTTCTTTTGATAATATCGTTAGTGGTAAATTATGGTGATTTCTGGTGAAATAATCTGAATATTTTCAGAACACTTTCCTCAAGCCTAGTAAGTTATTGATGATGGTTTCGACGGTTCTGTAGACAAAAGTCTAGGCAATGGCCGCCAGAAGATTTCATTTTAGGATGCAATTTAATTTACAAAAGAACCGTTTGAGACAGTAACGCGTCTTACTAACATAGGAGCAGATTGAGGAAAAGGGATTTGTTATTACATGGTTCACAGCACGACAAGACTCAATCTCTGTCCGTTAAACAAGTTATGGAGCATGGAATCTGAAGCAATTCAAATACACAATAATTCGTCCTCTTAAGATGCAATTGTTGGCAAAGTCTGATGAGGTTAGAGTACATGCTGGTTGAGAAAGCTATTAAAGAAACATACGGGGTTTCACACTATAATTAAATTATGTCTTTTTAATATGATCCTCTCCGGAAAACATTTTATGCGCGTTACTTTAAATGCGCTTGTCATTTGGTTCAGCGCTTTCAAGCTAGATTCAGGCAAAATATTCGGTTAACAGACAAGATATTAAGTGCACAAGTTAGCTGTCCTCGTCCTCAATTGAGAGAGAGTTCTTTACGCCCCAGAGCGTTTAGATATCAATATACGTTCTGCTTTGTTTCTCCTCACATCCAAGGCGCTCTTAGATCTGATGGTGGATTAAATCAGAGATTCAAATCATGCGCGCGCAGGTCAGAAGTACTTCACTGTACTGCGACTTCTCCAGGAAGTAGATTTAGACACAGCGGGTGTCTGTACTTATAGAACTTATTGTTGAACTGTGTAGCGATACTTTGGCTTTTTGACAGCCCTTCGGTAAACATCGGCAAAAAAAACAAAAAAAAAAAAAACAGAATTTTCTATAGAGATTAGAAGCTTATATCTCTGGACGCTATCTCGAATTCCTACATGTTCTGTTTGGTGATGGACAGTCATCATCCATTTCAACGAGTGCAGTTTTCCGTTCTTATCTGCTCGCTGATAGCATTCCAGAATTTCCCTCAGAACCATGCTCAGGAGCAGGACCGCCAGTGGCAGTGGACGGCAGGAGTGCTGATGGCTGTTTGGATGTTAGAACCCTTTATAGACCTGACTTTTTAGTGAAGTGGATACGACCAGGTAACGTGTACTTTATTGAAATTACTTGCATGTGTTTATAGTAAGTATTGTGCACGTCCTTTTAAGGTATTTTCAGTTGTGTGTTTTAAAATAGGCACTCTCAGAAAACTATTCTTTACCATGAGAGGAAAATCAATGTTCGACTTTCCTTGAGTGGGACAACAGAGTAATTTCACTGACCACCAAACGGTTTGTAATGCCCCCTACGGTAAGCTGAGAGAGTACGTTCCAGGTAAAATCTACATTACAGAGAGGACTGCCCAGAGTACTTTGATGTCTGAAAATGATTATGTTTTGAATTATTTCATGTTGAACAGTGCAAGCGTACTTTCTAACCTAGTAAGACACAAATCAAACTAATATATTAAATATACTTATAAATTAACGATTATATAATTAAAACGTTTAGAGCATACCTGTAATTTCATACACTTCACTGTTTCAACGGGCCACAGTAGGAACAATTATTCAGCCAAATGCTAATCAATTCATTGAATGTGTTACGTGGGGATCACAAAATACCATTACCTCATGGAACGAAGAACCCTTATATTACCTAAATGATAGAACGCCTTGGTACATAGAACAAAATGTAAAGGGGGGGGGGGGCGGGGGCAGGATCGCCCGTGAAATATACGTATGATTGTAGAGCACATAGCTGTAAAATAAGGGAAGAGCAAGTTTTCACTAGCTATGTGTTGTTTGGAGATGCAATTATACCGACATCAAATATCATTGTGGAGAAATGCTGGCAAAAATGTATTGGTTCAATATTCATGATCTTAAAGATGCATTTGTGGACAATTTTTCACCAGAAAAGGCGACCAGTTGCCACCACATAGTTTCAGCTAGCACAACTTAGACAAATACTAAAAGACATCGTTTCATATTACCGTAAAATGATACTTGAATGTTGCGACCAGAAATTTGAAAAAAATGCAGTTTAAAGCTCTTTTATGGCTGATCGAGTGATTAATTTCGTTTATTCATTAGAATGTCGACTGTATTTGAGTCGCAAACGAAACAAATAGAAGTGGTTTATATGGGTTGCTGGGAATCCACGCTTGACCGACGCTTGGTTCAAGTGTTCCTTTGAGCTCTGGATAGTTCGTTCTTGCCATGTTGGCTGCAATCCAGTACTTGGCAGAGCATAAATAATGTATGATTCTTGCTAGCATTGCGTATTGCGAGCTGATTACGCCTGTGGTGATAACAAGCTTAATAAACAATATATCGAGACCATGCTTTTTATACATTTACTACAGCGAGTCCCTTAATGCATTATTTAAAGAGATATTTAATGTATTATATTTTATAGCTTCTAATGTTTTTGATGATGTTATATCTGTTGATAAGAACAAAAAGAATGCTATAATGTTGGGAAGAACATCAAGAATGTTATAACTCATGTCCACGTCGGCCCAATTTTTCATAATTGTCCCGGACATTGTCTTTTCTCATTGAAACTAATGCAATCCCTCCATGACCTTCTCAGAACCAGGGTTCAAGACAAGACTCAACACCCATTTTGTCTAAAAGAGAGAAATCAGCCGGGAAAAGTTTTCTTTTTGAGCTGTCTACTCAACTCTGCTATGATGTATAGTTAATACGTCAGAAATCATTCACATTTAGCTGGTCTTGTTATGCTTGGCCTCCGACAAGTAGGGCATCTTAATGTAATGCAGCAATGATAACCTCTGTAGACAAGTCTCATCGGAGAATGAAGATAAGACTTTTTGGCAGTCCATCTAAACACTGTTCCAACTGGCACTTCGCTCACGCAGATAAGGCAGTAATGGTCTAGGGGGACGAATCCAGGTAGATACTTTCCTGTGATATCAGTATACAGAACCAAAGTATGAGTCTTTCTGGAAAAAGCCATCGAATTTGACTGTAATGACACTAACCCGCACCTACACCTCTGATCACCTCTGATCAGTGGTGGCTAATTGCCATGATCTGTGTTATCACCCAGCTGGGAATCCGGAGTAAGTCAAAGGCCATGCTTGACTTGTCTTACGTAACATAGACAGGGATGTGCTCTCTCAGCACCTTCATGTAGGTGTGAAATCGCCCCCACTGACAAATACATATACAAAGGGTATATCTGCATGGCGAGGAATGATTCCCGTTGATTAATTGACGTTACACAGGGTGCCATACAGTGGTTTTATGACAGATTACCAGCGCACCCAGTGGACAGACAGTAGGTAGATTCTGCTTTAGGGAGCATTCCCAGACCCTGTCGTACTAACTGTGGATCGGTCTATCTCCAAGAGGATTTTTGCTAAATTGCTATCAACCTAAGCGGCGTAGATGTCTGCCACGCCTACTGAAGCTGCTAAAGTGTAATTAAGTATCGTTTAACAGCTTCAGTAGGCATACCACACATTTAAGCAGCTTGAGCTGAAAGTAATTTAGCAAGAGACACCTTGGAGATGGATCGATCCTGTTAGATCGATCAAGGTATAGGAACCCAGTTTTACAGTGCTCATAAAATGTCAACGACAAATGCACTAGTCACATGTCTGTACATTCCAACATGTCTGTACATTCCAAATGGCTTCACTCTCGTTTTGTCCGATGGTTTAATTAAGATTGCCCTCCGATTCAAAGGATTCGTCAACCAAAAATTCGATATCTGCAATGAACCAGAATAAAGGGTACGTCGCACCCAAGCGCGTACTTTCTGTAGTGGCTATTGAGATATTTGCGTTAACGTAAACGGGTTGTGTCTGATTCAATGTAATGGCAATTCACTCGCAGGGTTTCAATATTTACTAAAAAACAGCAACTCGCTATTTTATTTTTGTTTATTAAATTCTAATTTTCTGGAGGTGATGTTCTCCTGGATACTGTCAGCTACAGAGGTCTTCACACCAATTGCATCTGCAGTCCTCGTAGTCATAAACAGGCGGTTGTCTTCTCATGGTTATCAATACTTATTACAGTCTAGTTGAACCATTACTGACAAACTGGCAGGTCCATGCTTATTAATGTATGTAATCAGATAGAGAAATGTAGGCGGGTTTGGTATAAGGGAGCAAAAGATAATGGCTACTTAAAAACGTCAGTGCGCGTAATGTGAGGTTTGAACTCCAGGGAAAACAAATCACGAATTCATCAGCATCATCGAAAATAGATCAATTATATCAAGTGATTGACATTTATATGACGTTTGGAATAGTGATATGTAAACTTATGTTGTAGTTTCACCTCCAGAAGTTCGTTAATTAAGTAGAATACGGCACAGCTTTGTTGACTGTCGGAGGGGCGACATTACTGTACAATGACAACAGATTCTTGCCACGATTTGTGGCAAAACTTTGATCCCATTTTTTTGAGAAGATACGTTGTCGCTGCCATTTCATTACGTGACGCTATTATCCTAGACAAGTTAAATCAAATTGTTGAACAATGAGGAATTTTAGTTCAAAGTCAGAGTGTACAGATAACTTTTATAAATATAACTCTGACTACAAAGCAAACCAAGGTCGTTTAGAGTACCAACCCTTGCCATTATGTAAATATACCACGAATACAGAGAAACAGATGTACAGATGGCGTTGAATAATTAAATAATGTTGCAGTAATGTATAATTAATTGGAACGCTTATTGTGGGTATTGTTTTAGCCACATTAAGTGCGCCATTATTTAATAGGTATTATTGTAAAATGAACTTTTGAAAAAGTGCATTGCCGTTTTAAGCGGTGAACGTCAACGGACGCTGTTCATTACTCTACCTGACAGGGGATCGGTGTGATCATCAGGGAGATAAAAAACTTACGCCACTGTTGCCTTTGGAAATGAGACTAATGATACATGGAAGCCAATAAGTGAATGGTAAGCACAGCCTCCGTATAGATAATATCTTGTCACCTTTGTAGAGAGAATCACCACACTGGTCAATACAATGACGCTCGTTTCTAAACATTCAGTGTAATATATGGTTTCCTTTATTTATAAATTTCAACTATCTAGTAATCTAAGTTAACTGTTTTATTTGTGAATAAACACAGGTGATTTAATATGTATGCATATTTCTCTATCGTTAATGCGCGCTTTTTAATTTGTATGCTAATAGAAGGCCTTCCAACTATGGAATCGTGGTATTTCATTTAAGCAGGTTCTGGCCCCCATCTTATTATATTGATTTCGTCAAACAAAAACAGAACTTCAGCTTTGAAACACTGAGCAAAAGAAATCCGTTTTTGACCTGCATATGAAGGGCACCCCATTGGTTTCAGCGTGATTTGCCGCTGTTTTCACCACATGGTGGCACAGTGTGGTATGTATGGCTCCCTTTTACTCCCAAGATCGGTTCAAAGTGCAATCCACTTTGATAATGAAGCCACCCAATGTTCAACCAGTCTGGTATAAACCTGCGTAACCCGGATGTTTTCGTCCGCATAGTGTTCAACTGAAGTGCGTCAGCATCAAATTTAACACTTTGCTACTGGTCTGTTTGTGGTTAAATTTATACGTGCTGAACAGCGAAGTAAAAATGTCATGCCTTATTATAAATAGTTTCTTTTAATTGGCCTTTACGTGTAAAGATGCTTTGATGTTGAAAACTTATGAAACCATAAACCAGAAGAAATATTTTATTCAAATGGCGTCAAAGAAGAACAAACGGTGTCAGGCAGTGCGCAGAAATCTGCGGAGGATGGAAGTCACGTGACTGACTTCCGGTACGTTATAGTAATATATGGTGAAACAGTGTATTTACAGGTATTGAGAGGACAGAAGTGATATAATATGTCTTTAAGCTGAGACACCAGCCTTTCATCTATAACTCATGGCTTTAAAAGTTAAACAATTACTCCATAAAAATGTAAAAAGTATTACATCAAACGTTTATGTGTCATTTTAGTAGATATATGTTGCTACAAAATGACGTCCTAGGTGTGTATGCAGTAAACATAATGTTTGTAATGTTATTTATCGATAAAAAACGTTTTAATAAGCATAGTAACTGTATGCCAATTTATTAAACTTAGGTAGAATGTGTTTGTGTATGAAGGAGGAAACCACCCGCCCTGGTGTTGAACTTTCAGTTTCTACATATTGCTAGAGTGGAGTTCATTCACTTTCCATTTCTATATGTAGCTAGCGTGGAGTTCATTAACCTGGTATGTGTCAAGGATGTAAGACAACCGCAACACATGTTAAACAACCAAAGGAAAACATGAAGACGCATTTTACGAAAGCAATGGACTCTGACGCCAGATTTTTCAGCCACCGAAACTGTTCGATAAAAGATCAGGCCTACCCAACTACCAGACGCGGCACCTACGGATCCTGAATTAACCGGTATATCAGACCACACTACCAGTTTTCAAGGTGTGCGTCAGATCGCATTACGGAGCATCAGCCACTTCACCCATTTTGCCTGGCGCGCGATGTGATAGCGATGATCCTAAGCGATACCCGGATGACAGGTAGGCCTACAAAATTTGTGATGGGGTATGATACTCCGTAATGCGATCTGACACACACCTTGAAAACGGGTAGTGTGGTCTGATATACCGGTTAATTCAGGATCCATAGGTGCCGCGTCTGGTAGTTGGGTAGGCCTGAAGATAATAGAAGTAGGGTTGGGGTGGGGTTACCGTGACATCGCCAATCAAACTGAATCATCCACCCCAAAGCCCTTACCCCCTACCCCTCTACCAATAAATACTGGCTATTGTGCAGCCCTGATTCACTCCCCAAATTCCCTAAATGTTAGCTGCTTTAATCTGTCTAGTCTATGATATACCCAATGACTTAAAAAAATATGGTTGGAAAATGCCGATCAACAGACGCCATTCACTTTTGTTGGCCATGCACTTTGAATATACAGGTATCCTGGGGTTCATATATTCCCCTTACACCATTGACGACATACACTTTCAAGTAGAATCCACTAATGTCATTACAAAAAACTCCTCGGGCTGAAATGTTCAGAGTTGAACGCGCGCCCTTGGGATAGCAGCTTTAGCTCCTAATCTATAAGATATCCCTCGATCCTTCGATATAGTTTCTAACCATTTCCATAATTGTGAGTGCAATACATGTTAATGCATTTTGTTCAATAAAATCTAACATATGAAATGTTGAAGTCCGGTAAGCACGGGAAATAGGTCAATTTTTCGTTAGTAGTCAGCAAAAATCATAACTCTTTGTCCTTGTACTTTTTAACCAATAGGAAGGTTGATTTGACCAATGATCTGCTGATCAGTACTCCCAAGCGCTCTCTTAGCTTTCCTTATAATACTAACAGCCAAGATTACAGACGAGGAGGAGTCAATTTGACTGCTTCTTTTAGCTGGTCAACTCACCACATTGATAAAAAAAGTCCCGGTCTTAGTGCTCAAATCATGGCATAATGACCACGAAAATGAAGTCAACGGACCCATTTAGGAATTATAATACTCCCAATATTTTACACCAAAAATGGAATAGCATGTTCATTTCTAAGCTTATTTTCCGGCCAGACCTAATGGACTATCTAGCACCACATCATTTGTTTGATGGAAACAACCTAATTAGGGGCTCATATCTCATAAACTAAACAGTATGAGATCAAATGCCGGCATGAGATTGTGGTTCGCACCGTAATTGTCAATCGTGCCATTTTTCATGATTACACTTTACTAATTAGTTACGGAAATTGGCGAATAAAGCTTGCACACTCGGTGGCTTAGCGGGTTTGTTGGTTAAAGAAGCAAACAAAAAATGGACTTTGTGCTATAATAGTGTTTATTCATCATTTTTGTAATAACATGAAGATAAGTATTTCAAAGAAAAGGATAAGTAAAAACGACTTTTCACAGCCGAGGTATGTGAAGAGTGCATGGAGTTCTTAACATACATCTATACCACTCACGGTGGGCACGGGTCTGTAACAATCATTGCATGCCACAATTGAGCTTTGGTTTATAACAATCCAATTACTGAAAATCAAACTAGAAAACAGATAGGGATTGCTGACGATTTGCCTTCAAGATGCCATAGCACCCACCGAGGAATAAATATCGCTCGACCTCAAGAACTGTATTGGTTGAAATGAAATGAATCCTAAAGGCCGTTGATTATGATCGATCACAAAATACCAAAAGAACCCTAGTTACATAACCCTAATAATGAGCCAATAATGCGCCTGTGGTATTCTAGCACGGGACATAAAGTGTTTATTAAAGAGAATCAGTGAAAGATTTACAGATTGAAAGACTGACCATAAACTAATTACCGGAGAGATTGGAGTGTTTTTTCTAAAGGTAGAGTTAACACATAAACGCAGTTCTGAACTGATGCCCTCTGTATTCAATTGGTGATTCTCCGAAGAAAGTAGGTGACGCTCACATGTATTTTCAGGCATTTGCAGGATTTCTATTACCAACAATGCATGCGCACAAAGGATCCCAGGAAAGGTATGTGTATTGTTTGGTGTTTTTTTGGAACAGTTCAAAGTTAACACAGTGGGGTACACGGTGAAACAACTTCCTGATGTTAATGGAGCATGTTAATGGATGTGCATTGAAGCGACATATAATGTTTCATGTTCTATGTGTAACGGTGACTCCGTGTACAAAACTGTTATAAACATGAGTCCCCAACACCGCCACATGAAGTACCAGTACGCCAAGTGCATCACCCTCCCTTTAAGTTGGATTTTTTTGTCTCTTTTGGTGTCAAATTTTATTTTGTCAACCGATTGACATAACTTCATGAAGAGCTAATGACTATAAAAGAGCCAGTGCCTAGCCGTGTAACGATGTTTAATTGCAGGGTAGCGGAACAAACCAATAGATATGTTATAGCTATTTGGAACCGTTGTCTTGCTTTCTATTAGATATTGGAAACCCAGACAAAACTAATAAGACTACTGTCACCAACCAAATCAGAAAAAAGCCGTCTGTTGTCGGAGAGATACATTAAGGGACTTCATTATGTGGACAGCAGCAATAACTGATTTATTTCAGTCCAACTCAGTCACCAATAGTATAGAATTACCGCTAGTTTATTGGCCTGAAATGATAGTATATTAAGTTTTTGGTCGATTTATTTACAAAGACTATTGTGAGATCTTGGTTCATTTGGGCCAATTATGTAATGGCTTGTTATATTGTTCTTCGCTGTAACTTCGTCCCGTTTGGAAAAAGAAGCATTGCTGTTTGGATATTTTGACAATTATGTACAGTACTAACTGCTTTGACCTATCAAAAAAGTCAAACAAACTAAAATAAAATAAACTAAACTCAAATTAAAATATATTTTATATCGGTAAACAAAATACTTTTGTCGCCATCATGATCACTTTCCTTTGGAATTATGTAAATGGCGGATAAGTAACTTTCGAGCACTATTATTTTATCTGTGCAAAGTTGAGACTGTCAATAAATTAACCTTTATGTACATTAAATGTCCGGGGAGATGAAAAGCACTGGGTTATTTTTCTCCTAATAGCAGCATGGTTTATTCCGTTCACCATAAATAATAAATTGTATATACTGGGTCTTTGATACGGAATGCTTCCTACGTGTGTATCCAGATGGTAGTGGGTGCTATGATGATGTTTTGAGGGGTTTTACATATATTATCAGTGACGTTGATTATATATGTCTGTTATTGAATTCTATGTACCATGTTGACGTGAAGATCCACCAATATATTTGATTGTACTTTATTGTACCGTCAAGTAAAGTAAGAGCACTTGTACCATACGGAGTAGTATAAAGAACAAAGGGATGGCCTGACAAATATAGTATTGATCGGTGATACTTTGACGCACCAACTGATCTGATGCCCTGTATATTCATGCTTAAATTATCCGCTATGTTAGCTTTTTAACTTCCTGA